CTGTCTCCCTTCTTAAAGATGGGACTACATTTGCCTTCTTCCATACTCTTCAGGTAGTTGCCAGTTCAGGGGAAGTGTTGAAGATTTTGGTTAGTGGCACACGTAGTGCCCCTGCTCCCTCTCTAAGGACCCACGGAGAGATGTTGTCCGGTCCCACCGCCTTTGAGGTATCAAGGTCACTTAGGAGCTTCTTCACCTCCTCCTCAGTTGTGTGTAATTCATCCAACACTTGTTGGTATATCCCTTGTTGCTGTACTCCACTGCTTTGTCTTCCTGTTGTCCCTTCAGCCTCCACTGTAAATACTTCCTGAAATCTCATGTTGAGCTCCTCACATACCTCCTGGTCGTTTCTTGTGAGCTCCCCACCTTCTTTCCTCAGCCTGATTACCTGGTCCTTGACTGTTGTCTTCCTCCTGATGTGGCTGTAGAGTAGTTTCGGTCAGACTTGACTTTCGATGCTATGTCATTTTCATACTGCCGCTGCGCCTCCTTCTTATCTGTGCATACTCGTTTCTTCTGGCTCGTCGACTAATCTCTTTATTCTCCTGAGTCCTTTGCCTTCTGTACTTTTTCCATTCTCTAGAGCACTTAGTTTTTGCCTCCCTGCACTTTCGGGTAAACCAAGGCTCGTTCTGTCTTTCCCATTATTTCTGTTACCCTTGGGAACAAACCTTTCCTCTGCCTCCTTGCATTTTGTTGTTACAAGGTCCATCATTTCGTTTACTGATTTTCCTACCAACTCCTGTTCCCACTGAACCTCCTGCAGGAATGTCCTCATTCCTGTGTAGTCCCCCCCTTTTATAGCTTAGCTTTTCCCTTTCTACTCCTGTTACCCTCTCCACTTTTAGCTCCACGATGTATTCAAAGCTCATACCTACGTGGTCACTAGCTCCAAGGGGCCTTTCATATGTGATGTGCTCAATGTCTGAGCTACTCAGGGTGAACACGAGGTCCAGTCTTGCTGGTTCATCCTCCCCTCTCTCTCTGGTAGTATCCCTAACATGTTGGTGCATGAGTTTTGCTAGCACCATATCCACCATCTTGGCTCTCCATGTTTCAGGACCCCCATGTGGCTCCAGGTTTTCCTAATCAATCTCCCTGTGATTGAAGTCACCCATGACCAGTAACTGTGTGTGTGTGTGTGTGTGTGTGTGTGTGTGTGTGTGTGTGTGTGTGTGTGTATGTGTGTGTACTCACCTAATTGTACTCACCTAATTGTGGTTGCAGGGGTCGAGACTCAGCTCCTGGCCCCGCCTCTTCACTGATCGCTACTGGATCCTCTCTCTCTCTGCTTCCTGAGCTTTGTCATACCTCTTCTTAAAACTATGTATGGTTCCTGCCTCCACTACTTCACTTGCTAGGCTATTCCACTTGCTGACAACTCTATGACTGAAGAAATACTTCCTAACGTCCCTGTGACTCGTCTGAGTCTTCAGCTTCCAGTTGTGACCCCTTGTCCCTGTGTCCCCTCTCTGGAACATCCTACGTCTCTGTCCACCTTGTCTATTCCCCGCAGTATCTTGTATGTCGTTATCATGTCTCCCCTGACCCTTCTGTCCTCCAGTGTCGTCAGTCCGATTTCCCTTAACCTTTCCTCGTACGACATTCCCTTGAGCTCTGGGACTAGCCTTGTTGCAAACCTTGTACTTTCTCTAACTTCTTGACGTGCTTGACCAGGTGTGGGTTCCAGACTGGTGCTGCATACTCCAGTATGGGCCTAACATACACAGTGTACAGTGTCTTGAACGATTCCTTATTGAGGTATCGGAACGCTATTCTCAGGTTTGCCAGGCGCCCGTATGCTGCAGCGGTTATTTGGTTGATGTGTGCCTCCGGTGATGTACTCGGTGTTATGGTCACCCCAAGGTCTTTCTCCCTGAGTGAGGTCTGTATGTCTTTGTCCACCTAGCCTATATTCTGTCTGCGGTCTTCTTTGCCCCTCCCCAATCTTCATGACTTTGCATTTGGCTGGATTGAATTCGAGGAGCCAGTTACTGGACCACATGGTCCAGCCTCTCCAGGTCTCTTTGCAGTCCTGCCTCATCCTCGTCCGATTTAATTCTTCTCATCAACTCACGTCATCTGCGAACAGGGACACTTCAGAGTCTATTCCTTCCATCATGTCGTTCACATATATCAAAAATAGCACTGGTCCTAGAACTGACCCCTGTGGGACCCCGCTCGTAACAGACGCGCCCACTGTGATACCTCTTCACGTACCATGACTCGTTGCTGCCTCCCTGTCAGGTATTCCCTTATCCATTGCAGTGCCCTTCCTTTTATGTGTGCCTGATCCTCCAGCTTCTGCACTAATCTCTTGTGGGGAACTGTGTCAAAGGCCTTCCTGCAGTCTAGGAAAACGCAATCATACCCAACCCTCTCTCTCGTGTCTTACTTCTGTTACCTTGTCATAAAACTCCAGAGGTTTGTGATACAAGATTTGCCTTCCATGAACCCATGCTGGTTTTCATTTATAATCTTGTTCCTTTCCAGGGTGTTCGACCACTCTCCTCCTGATAATCTTCTCCATGACTTTGCACACAATACATGTCAGAGACACAGGTCTGTAGTTTAGTGCCTCGTTTCTGTTTCCTTTCTTAAATATGGGACTACATTAGCTGTCTTCCATTTCTCAGGTAGTTGCCCAGTTTCAAGGGATGTGTTGAAGATTGTGGTTAGAGGCACACACAGCATCTCATGCTCCTTCTCTAAGGACCCATGGGGAGATGTTGTCCGGTCCCATCGCCTTTTGAGGTGTCAAGGTCACTTAAGAGCTTCTTCACCTCCTCCTCAGTTGTTCGTATGTCATCCAACACTTGTTGGTATATTCCCTCTTGATGTTCCCTTCTGTGCTGTCTTCCCACAGCCCTTCCTGTCTCTACTGTAAAAACTTCCTTAAATCTCCTGTTCGCTCCTCACATACCTCCTGATCATTTCTTGTGAGTTCTCCACCTTCCTGTCCTTAATCTGATCACCTGTCTTTGACTGTTGTCTTCCTCCTGATGTGGCTATACAACAGTTTCGGGTTAGTCTTGATTCTCGATGCTATGTCATTTTCATACTGTCGCTGGGCCTCCCTCCTTACCTGTGCGTACTCATTCCTGCTCTGCGACTGATCTCCCTATTTTCGTGTGTTCTCTGCCTTCTGTACTTTTTCCATTCTCTATTGCACTTTGTTTTTGCCTCCTTAACAACCGTCGGGTAAACCAGGGGCTTGTTCTGGTCTTCCCGTTGTTACTGTTGCCCTTGGGAATGGAACCTTTCCACTGCCTCCTTGCATTTTGTTGCTACATATTCCATCATTTCATTTACTGCTTTCCTGCCAGTTCTCTGTCCCACTGGACCTCCCGCATGAAGTTCTTCAACCCTATGTAGTCCCCTCTTTTATAGTCAGGCTTTTCCCATTCTACTCCTGTTATTCTCTCCACTTGCAGCTCTACTATGTATTCAAAGCACAGAACCACGTGTCGCTAGCTCCTAGGGGACTCTCATACTTGATGTCCTCAATGTCTGAGCTGCCCAGGGTGAACACAAGGTCCAATCTTGCTGGTTCATCCTCCCCTCTCACTCTGGTAGTGTCCTTAACATGTTGGTGCATGAGTTTTGCTAGCACCATATCCACCATCTTGGCTCTCCATGTTTCAGGACCCCCATGTGGCTCCAGGTTTTCCCAATCAATCTCCCTGTGATTGAAGTCACCATGACCAGTAACTGTGTGTGTGTGTGTGTGTGTGTGTGTGTGTGTGTGTATGTGTGTGTGTGTGTGTGTGTGTGTGTGTGTGTGTGTGTGTGTGTGTGTGTGTGTGTGTGTGTGTATGTATGTGTGTGTGTGTATGTGTGTGTGTGTGTGTACTCACCTAGTTGTACTCACCTAGTTGAGGTTGCGGGGGTCGAGTCCGAGCTCCTGGCCCCGCCTCTTCACTGGTCGCTACTAGGTCACTCTGTGTGTGTGTGTGTGTGCTCACCTATTTGTACTCATCTATTTGTGGTTGCAGGGGTCGATTCATAGCTCCTGGCCCTGCCTCTTCACTGATTGCTACTGAGTCCTCTCTCTCCCTGCTCCATGAGCTTTATCAAACCTCGTCTTAAAGTTCCTGCCTCCACTACATCACTTGCCAGACTGTTCCACTTCCTGACAACTCTATGACTGAAGAAATACTTCCTAACATCCCTTTGACTCATCTGGGTCTTCAACTTCCAATTGTGACCCCTTGTTTCTGTGTCCCATCTCTGAAACATCCTGTCTTTGTCCACCTTGTCTATTCCTTGCAGTATTTTATATGTCGTTATCATGTCTTCCCTGACCCTCCTGTGTAGACAGCCTGTACTGTCTGCACAGACAGCCCATGCTGTCTGCCAGCTTAGTTCTTGAACGATTCCTTACTGAGGTGTGTGTGTGTGTGTACTCACCTATCTGTGGTTGCAGGGGTCGAGACTCAGCTCCTGGCCCTGGATGCTTGTGGATGTGAGAGAGAGAGATTATTATTATTATTACAATCAAGGGGGAAGCGCTAAACCCAGAGGATTATACAGCGCCTGGGGGGGGGGGAGGATGTGGAAGGCATTCATCCCTTAATTCTGGGGAAAGGAGCACAGGATCCAATTCCCTAAATCAAGAGCCCCTCACCAACATCAAGTAACTTTCCTTGAGGGGTAGAGAGAGAGAGAGAGAGAGAGAGAGAGAGAGAGAGAATCTCAAGCCATGAAATATATAACTTCGTGGAGATGACGTTCTAATTCTTGTATTTATGGTATATAAGTTGATGCTGCAGCGAAATTAATTAAAAGCCTAGTCCACTTAAATTGAAAATCCCCTCGTGCTATTAAACTTAAATTCCCAATAAACAACATCCTCAAAAAAAACACAGAAACAACCCCTCTCCCTTAACTAGAATAAACAGTAAGTGAAAATAAAAAAAATCATCATTTAAGCATTTAGAGCAGCTGGCAACTGTTGTCTTGTGGTGGAGTTTCAAGTCCGGCTGATCTCTCAGTCTGGCCGGCGCCGCCCTGCAGTGGGGAGTGTGCTGCACTACTCTCCTCCTGCTCCTCTTGTACACATTGTCTGTATATTTAACGTCTCCAGTGTGCGTGCGGGTGTCCAGTCCTTCGCATCTTCGTGTTACACACACATTCGTTTGTGTTTTCTGCCGCAGTGAATTGTTTAGTCGTTGGTTGGTCAACTTAGCTGTGATGAGCGTGGCTTTGGTAAAGTGTACTTAAAGGTTGACGTAAGAGAAGCGATTTGAAGTGACCGTAATGAGATGAGTGAATTGTAAGTGTTCTGGTAAAGTAATTGTTGCAGAGGAGACCTGCCCAGGAGACCTGCCCAGGACCTGCCCAGGAGACTTGGCCAGGGAAACTTAACCGTGGAGACTTTACCATGGTGACTTTACCATGGTGACTTTACCCCCATGGTGACTTTACCATGGAGACTTTACCATGGTGACTTTACCATGGTGACTTTACCATGGTGACTTTACCCCCATGGTGACTTTACCATGGAGACTTTACCATGGTGACTTTACCATGGTGACTTTACCATGGTGACTTTACCATGGTGACTTTACCATGAAAACTTTACCTTGAAGACTTTACCGTGGAGACTTTATCATGGTGACTTTACTAAGGAAAGTCTTCCAGGTGCTGCTTAGTGATACAGAGCTTTACTTCTGATAAAACTAAAGTTAATTAAGTTTCTGGACAAGACTCGTCTCACCTGCTGCCCCTCAGCTAGCAGTAGATGACCCTCAGCTAGCAGTAGATGACCCTCAGCTAGCAGTAGATGGCCCTCAGCTAACAGTAGATGCCCCTCAGCTAGCAGTAGATGGCCCTCAGCTAGCAGTAGATGCCCCTCAGCTAACAGTAGATGCCCCTCAGCTAGCAGTAGCTGCCCCTCAGCTAGCAGTAGTGCCCCTCAGCTAGCAGTAGATGCCCTCAGCTAGCAGTAGTGCCCCTCAGCTAGCAGTAGATGGCCCCTCAGCTAGCAGTAGATGACCCTCAGCTAGCAGTAGATGCCCCTCAGCTAGCAGTAGCTGCCCCTCAGCTAGCAGTAGCTGCCCCTCAGCTAGCAGTAGATGCCCCTCAGCTAGCAGTAGCTGCCCCTCAGCTAGCAGTAGATGCCCCTCAGCTAGCAGTAGATGACCCTCAGCTAGCAGTAGATGCCCCTCAGCTAGCAGTAGCTGCCCCTCAGCTAGCAGTAGCTGCCTAGCCGCCCTCAGCTAGCAGTAGATGGCCCTCAGCTAGCAGTAGATGGCCCTCAGCTAGCAGTAGATGCCCCTCAGCTAGCAGTAGATGGCCCTCAGCTAGCAGTAGATAGCCCTCAGCTAGCAGTAGATGGCCCTCAGCTAGCAGTAGATGCCCCTCAGCTAGCAGTAGATGACCCTCAGCTAGCAGTAGATGCCCCTCAACTAGCAGATGTCCCACGACTAGCAGTAGATGGCCCTCAAACAGATGCCCCTCAACAAGCAGTAGATGCCCCTCAACAGATTCTCCCTTAATAAGCAGATGCCCCCTTAAGCAGAAGGTGCCCCTCAATATACAGATGCCCCCTTAACAAGCAGTAAATGCCCGTCAACACGCAGATGCCCCTGAACAAGCAGATGCCCCTGAACAAGCAGAAGATGCCCCTGAACAAGCAGAAGATGCCCCTGAACAAGCAGAAGATGCCCCTGAACAAGCAGATGCCCCTGAACAAGCAGAAGATGCCCCTGAACAAACAGAAGATGCCCCTGAACAAGCAGATGCCCTTCAACAACATGCCTCTCAACAAGCAGATGCCCATCAATAAGCAGATGCCCCTCATCAAGCAGTAGATTCCCCTCAACAAGCAGTATATGCCCCTCAACTAGCAGTTGCCCCTCAACAAACAGAAGATGCCCCTGAACAAGCAATGACTAAACAAGCAGTAGATGCTCCTCAAGAAGCAGAAGATGCCCCTCAACAAGCAGAAGATGCCCCTCAACAAGCAGATGCCCCTCAACAAGTACATACCTGGAATTATGTCTGTGTTAGTTTTGCGAGTTTGATCTTAGGGTCCACGAGGGAAATAGCTGCGCTTCTTGGCCCTTTTTTTCGATTATTTTGGGTTATTTTCCGGGTTAGTATTCTACCATAAGTCTTCTTCAACGAGGTAAGTTGAGAAATATCCAATCTCAACTTGAGAAAACTTAAAGGGCGTGAACTAGCTTGGAGAAGAGTGGTCCCTACGAAGTATGCGAGATTGAAGCCAATTTGCATACGAAAAAGAACTTTGGCATTCAACTCATCGCCAGACCAGACTGACTGACGCCGGCTTAGCAATCTGCTAAGCAACTGACAGCTTCACTTCAGGGGTTGCTACCCGTCAAGGAGGGGAAAGGGTTCCATGGTGGCGAAGAGCTCGTGATGTAAGGACCTGGAGTTGCCCCTCCTCCTTACTCGGATCAAACCTTATTACCATATGCAATAGTTTATATTGTTGAAATGTTTCGCCTACATAGGCTTCTTCAGTCAAATAGAGAGACTGAATATGGAGGCGGGAGTAGCAGTGGCGAGGTAAAGTCGTGATCAGTGCATCACTCGTGAAATGGGTTTTTAAAATGGTCAGTCCCTCAGCGTGGAGAAGAGATCAGCTTCATAGTCTGGAATAACGTGAATATGGAGACTGAGCTCATACTATGGAGGTGACTTTTCTCCAGGGGGAGGGACTGACCATCTTAAAAACTACTTTTTCAAGACTGATGGACTGATCACATCTTTCTTTCTCCACTGCTTCTGCTGTCTCTATATTTAGTCTTCTCTGTATTTGACTGAAGAAGTCCACAGTGTAGGCGAAACATTTCGATAAGAAAGATACCCAAGTTCTGTATATGTGTCGTACTCATCTACTTGTGGGTATTTTATACCATATTCATAAACGTGATTACCCGTCATTCAGCAGGCGTTGTATGACCCTCACCAGTTTATAATGTTGAAGGAGTGTTAGGGAAACTAGATGGGTTGGTCAGGTACAATGTGATTTGTTTTCAAAGTTAAGCCCATTGGAACTATCCTCTCCTTAGGATCAGACCTGATTACCCTCACCACTCTCAGTCCTTAGGCACTGTATGATCTATAGTTCTTAATGGGGTTTAAAGGCTAACGACTACACAAGGTCATTAAGGCTGGTTGTCGTCTGTTCACCACCCGACAAGTATACTGTAATAACTAAAATAAAGATTACACTCACTGTATACACACTGAGAGACATACACCTATCGGTTTGTATATCCTTACTTATTCTTTATCAAATGTGTAACCCTTATAATTTTTGTGGTTCCAAGTAAATTGAAAAAATATGTTTTATGAAAATTTAAAGATAAGGAGAATATTTGTAATGTTTTATTTGCTGTGACATATATACATCAAAAACACAAACTATTGAAAATTTTTAATAATATTCTTAGATCAACTTAGTTCCAGCAAATAACTGTGACTATCCAGAGAGGTAACACTGCTTCATGGCACACAAGATTCTAACCAGTAAACTTGACTGTGGAAGACTTTTTGAAAGTCCAGTCTGTATAACCATAAGTTTTTTTTGTTGCATAAGTGAAAGTTTCATTTGAGAAATATTTTCATTATCTTTTTTAACACACTGGCCGTCTCCCACCTAAGTTGGGTGACCCGAGAAAGATAAAGTAATTTCACATTCATTCAATCACTGTCTTGCCAGACGAGTGCAGATATCGCAGTTCAGATGACCATCTGGGCTTCAACATCAATGTCTCTCCTTCAGAGCGCAGTCACTGTGCTTCCCACCTCCAGGACTCAGATCCGGCAAACCAGTTTCCTGAATACCTACACAAATGTTACCTTGCTCAGACTTCAATAGCACGTTAAACAATAAAGAAAACACCTTGCTCAGTGAGGGTGAGTGGCAGGGAGAGTAAGATTGAGGACACAAACACACAGTGGAAAGGACAGACACTGAATCTGCTTAGCTGTAGTTTTATTAATAGCGTGAAAATCTCATTTTAGGTGTGACCTCAGACCTCCAAACTCTGATAGGGAACACAGTAAAACTTCTGTTGGACGAAATTGCAGACGCATCTAGATACAAATATATAGTTTCAGTTAGAGATTTTAAATTTAGCCAGATTAGTAAGACTAATGGGCAATCTAGAGTCTAGATACATTCTAGAAATATTCCAGGACTGCTTTAAGAAAAACAGTTTGCATCAGAGCTTGAAGTGATCACAAGTCATTTAGTTTCAATATATCATGGAATCACCTTAATAACGATAATAAAATTAAAATTCATAATTTTTGCGCTGGAAACGATATAGGGCTAAAGGATTATTTAAGCAATGTGGGATGTAAGTAACCTGAGAGACCTACTAAAACAAAGTACTGAAGAGTGATGGAGAGGGTTGCCAGTATGACATTTTCCAGAGTATCATGTAATCGACAAAACCTGCATATCTTTATAATATACCAATTAGATCAAAATCGAAACGACCCTAAATGGATAAACAATAGATTAAAACATCTCGGATATAGTCATTTAATTTAGAGTCATTTGATTTACAAGTATTTCAAAAGAGGATTAAGTTACCGTCTGGATCAATATATTTAATAAACAAATGTTGCAGTTTAAAAACTGTAGTGTAAAGCACCCTTCTGGCAAGACAGTGATGGAGTGAATGATGATGAAAGTTTTTCTTTTTTGGGCCACCCTGCCTTGGTGGGAATCGGCCAGTGTGTTAATAAAGTTTCGAGCTGATGAAGACCAACCCAAAGGGTTTCTTTCAGGTATGTAGGAACAAGAGTAGAGAAAAGATAGGCTCACTTAAATGTAATTCAGGTCAGCTTACAAAGAAATGTATACGGTTTTTAACTCCTTTTTCCCTCTCATTGTGTCTTTTTGTGTTTTTATACAAAACGACACAATGAAATCTCATAAATCAATAATTACACAGGTCTGTATGAGGCTAAATTGTTCAAGATGAAAGTAACATAGACTTCAGGCACACGATTTATGAGCAAGCAAATCACCCAGCCCTGCCGAGCTGCTTTCAAAGATTCTAAAGGAATGTTAGGA